ATGCACTAAAATCTGCAAAAAAAATGCCATATTTAAGCTCCCATTTAAGCTCCCTGTAGAGGATGTGTTCATTTAGATAATCAACAAAACATGAAATTGTTCAAACTTTTGCATATGACTGCATTATATGGGCACTCAGTCCAACCCAAATGTATTTAACAGATATACTTGCCTACTGTGGTAAATGCTTTAGACTGAAAAATAACAGTGAATAAATGCAAAGTTAAAGTTGTGGGCTCTGTTTAACTGACCTGTTAAGAAACAGTTCTGACCATTGTCAAATAAAAAAACCCCTTCTGCACTGTCCTTGATCCACAGTATTTCTTGATGAGTAGTATTTCACTGTCTTTTTCAGACAAAATGTATATTAGCTTTTATTTTTCTGGCTTGTCTCTAACCTGTTGAAACAAGAAAATTGCAAGCAAGAGTCCCCCCAGACTTCAGTGAACTCTATGTGCATGTACAGACGTAGTTGTATTATTATTATTATTATTATTATTATTATTTCTTTTCTATTGGAGAATGAGTAAAAGAATATTGTATCTGTTCTGTGTAATAAAGTTCAGAATATTTTCTTCTACTTTTGCTTCATTACATCTCAAAGACTACCAGGAGGTTTGTTTTCTGAACAGAACTAAATAAGAAACACTCTCACTGTGTTACTGAACGCTCCCATCACGTCCTTCTATTGCCAACCCAGAAAGCACAGAGCCAAGCGTTAACCGAAGCTTCCAGGAGACAACACGGCTGATCCGTTCCACCATATACACCAAAAGGAGAACAGTGTTCTTGAGGAGAGCCCGAGCGTGTCTGCTCTCTGCGCTGTTCTCTGGCAGCCTGGCTGGCGCGCCGGAGCCGCCACAGCCAACAAATGTCATGTGGCGTTAATTCGGTCTATCAGTATGCTTATTTATTCCTGGGCTTGGCTGGCTGGAGGAGTGACAGCTCAGTGTGAGTTCCAGAGGGGAGATCCTGGGAAGTCAGATAAAGAACTCCACCAGGGCTACACACGAGGAAAACACAAGAGCAATTGTTCCCGTTTGTTTGTTTGTTTGTTTTATTTTCATTTCGGAGCAAATTTCCAAGACAAAAGGCGAGCGCTCCCCCGCCTCTGTCTTTGTGAGCGTGATGAGCTGTAATAGGTCTGTGACAAAGGCTCGAGGTGGAGTCTGAAGATACACGGCTGTCACATCATTTATTAGATTTATGTTTGTTCCCTCTTAAGATGAATATTCACCCACATTAACTGCTGCTTTTCAGATGCTAATTTTCTCATGAGCAGTTTCTAGTTGGTGTCAACCCCTTTTTTTCCGGCCAGTTGTCCTGGATTGATTATGAGGTGTCATTTTTCACCAAGAGAAGCCAAAATATGGCTCATCATCTGGAACGCACGGAAGCCTGGAGAGGCCAGGAACTGTTGCTGTGATTTCTAGATTGTTATCTTGAGATCACAAGATAATTAACTTGTTACCTCAAGATAACTTGTGTTATCTTGAGATAACGAGATAAGTAATGTGGTATCTCAAGATAATTATTTCAAGATAACAAGATATGCAAATTGTTATTTCAAGATACCAATTTTGTTATCTTGAGATAACAAGATAAGTAACGTGGTATCTCAAGATAATTATTTCAAGATAACAAGATATGTAACTTGTTATTTCAAGATAACAATTTTAAGATAACTCGTCAAGATAACTTGGTATCTCAAGCTAACAAGTAACTTATGTTGATAGTATTTATTATTTATTGATAGTTATTTTGAAATAGCTTTCTTTTAACAGCTTTGTTATCTTGAGGCCACAAGATAACTGACTCTATCTCAAGATACCTTTTGCTATCTCAAGATAACAAGATATGTAACTTGCTATTTCAACATAACAATTTTGTTATCATGAGATCACAAAATAATTAGCTCGTTATCTAAAAATAACTTGAGATAAGTAACTTGTTTTCAACATAATTTTATCTTAAGATAACTCACTGTCTCAAGATATTTAACTTGTTAAAGATAAATTTATCTTGAGATAAGATAATTAACTTCTCTTAAGATAACTTATCTCGAGATACGTAACTTGTTATTTCAAGAAAACTTTATCTTGAGATCACAAGATAATTAACTCGTTACCTCAAGATAACAATCGTTATCTCGAGATAAGTACCTTGTTATTTCAAGATAATTTTGTTATCTTGAGATAACAAGATAACTTGTTATCTCAAGATGACAACTTTGTTATCTGGAGATGAAAAGATATGTAACGTCATCTCAAAATAACAATCCAGAAACTGATAACTACCTCATGGCCTCTCCGGACACCCGTAGGAACGCCTTCGTTATTCCAGCATGCAGCATCCAAAGTGGCAAGTTTAAATAAATAAATAAATAGATCGATAAATAAATCGATATCAATCTCTGACTGACAGTCTGTCTCCACATCTCCTTTCATCCTCTCCGCCCCACACTTTCCGAGCTGTTGTGATGTCTGGCTCTCAGCTGAACAGGAGAGAATGCTTCCTGATTGTAATTCACACATTGCCTCTAAAACACTGCAGCGGCTGTAGACGTTCGTCAGTGTCGAACAATCAGCCGAGCCAGACAGAGGGCTGCGTTTAAACCCATTTTGCCGGAGTGGAACTGGGGTCTTTAATTAGGACAGTTGCCTCCCTCATTTCCTCGCTCGCAGATGGCACTGGGTTTGTTTGCGATAGGAAATCACAGCTTGCCTTTGAGCCTCACTACTTAACTCGCGCACTTCTTCTTATTCCCGCAAGCCATGTCTGTCAGTGCTGCTCATGCGTGACCCTTCACTGAACAGCGGAGTGGAGCGCTTACTGACTCCTCACTGCTACACACACTAATTACAGACAGTTCCAAGTGTGTCTTTTGTTTAATTGAACATTTGAGGTGGAGTGACTTTTTATCGGTTCTGTCTAAGAGACATACCTGTGATCTATACTTAAGGTTTGCTAGAACTTTTTTTTTCAGAAGGTTCTTTAGAGAGCTGACCTATCTATGCTCTGCCCACAAACGCATTCTTTTGTAGGTACAGTTATAAGGTTGGACTAGTGTTACTCCTTTTTTGCATAAAGACCACTTTTTCGTTTAAGCTCCACTTTGAGTTCCAATGTTCTTTTCCAGAAAACTGCGCGAAAAACCTCCAACACTAAGTATAAAACACAAATAATACTTCATATCTTTCAGTATTTAATATGTCCACTCCTTTACACACTCAACTGCCACTTTAATGCCTCCATCTTTCCAGTCTTGAAACCAACCAGTTACAGCTGTGTCCTCCCAACAAAAGGAGTTTTCACTGACATTGTTTACTCATCAAAGAGACACTAACATTCTCATAAGTAACTTCCTAAACACACTTTAACTCACACATTATTTTCTTGTGCATCTAAACTGACCAAAAAGGTGAAATTTCTGAGATGAAGATAATCCACTTCCATAAGGAAGAGGAAAGTGAAGTGGAAAACAGGGGTTTCCAAAACTGGAGTTCAAGACCTGACTGACCAGCAAAACTGTCCCCATCAGATAAACAGCACTTACAGCTTTCATCTTTGAGAGAGAGAAGAAAATCAAGCTCCACTCTTTCTTCAGATCTGAAAAATCTACAGTTCATCCTTCCACTGCGACTCAACACTATGGATCTAAAAGGATGTGTAGTGGTCAAGAACCTGTGAGAAAATGGACAAAAAAGAAGAACATTTGCACTGGCACAACAAAACTGGACATCTTAGATGTAGAGCAAGGTTTTATGGACTGAAGAATCTACATTTGAGATGTCTGGAAGCAACAGAAAGCAAAGAAAGACTCCTCGAACCGTCTACAACCTTCAGAGACAGTCGAGATGCATTGATCAAAGAAGCTGCTGGTGTTCTCAGAACAGTGGATTGACCATTGTAGAGTCCAGACGACAACATCACTGAATGTGGGATTATTTGGATTGTGAGAAGTAGAAAATTCAACCGACTGCTAAGACTGAACATTGGAGGTGTGGAAAAAATATCCCTGCAGATTTCTTTGAAAAGAAAGTCTCCTGAAAAGAACAGAAGCTGTAATAATGGCAAAGAATGAATACAGTACATACTGAAGATTAAGACGTGGAGGCTTCTGTGTAATTATCTGTTAAATATGTTTTCTGCTTATTTCCTTGTGCTTTTATTTTACCTATTTGTTTTTCGGTTTAGCTGTTTGTGATCGCCAAGGTTGTTTTCTTCTGCATTCAAAACCTAGGAAGAATTACAATTAGACTGCCAAAAGCATTCTATTTAGATACAACATTTTATTATTGTAAGTCTTAAATATGAACACACAATCTCCATAAAGAAAAACATATGAAGCAACAATTCCTTTACATTACAGGGATTTCAAAGAGACTTTTATTTGGCCCTCTCCAGGGAGTCGTATGAGAGGGGAGTGATGCATTTATTCTTTTTTCAGAGGTGACAGTTGGTCGGATGCTATTGTCGAGAGATATTTTGCACCAACTGACCCATTGTAAAGGTGCAGATTTTGGCCATGCACAGACAAGCACAACTCCTCTGCTGAAGAGAACGTGGTGCAGTGACAGGTTCTCTTCAACCAAGCGTCTTTCGAAGTTCATAAACCCAGTTTACAAAGCTCACGTTCCAAACACGTATCACAAACAGCCCTAAAGAGTGGGTGCAATTCAAGTACTGTGGACTGTAAATGTAAGTAAGGAAAGATGATGAGTGTGGATCGTGGATGAGTGTGGATCATGTTATGTTTCTCTGGATTTGAGAGGGAACTCTATTGCACCTACCCTTTATATGGCTGTGAGCCCAAATGCCCCACAAAAAGAATAAAGGGAAAAACAAAAAGAATATCCAGACAAACTGTAATGCTTTACAGTACATCTTCATAGGTAACCACATACAAAACTCTCTGCCATAAAGCAGCACAGACGCCATAACCCATCTAATTACAACCTTGTGCTTGAAATCCACCACAGTAACGGTGGCTAATGTTGTTTTGTATTTAAGACTCTTTCAAGCTGTGTGCCCAGTTCTGTCTCATTTTCCAGGCATATTTCAGTCCTGTCTCAGTTGCTGAAATTTGCCTTGAATGTTGATGTATAAATCCTGACGTACACTGACACCAGTGTTTATGATACATGACTATATGAATTTAATAAATGGTTGTCTTTGAGGTACTCGGACTGAAGAAATGGCATTTATTCAACCAAAAACAACAAATCAAAATCATAATAAAAATGAACAGAGGCTTAAGTAGTCCATACATTTGACCTGTAATATTAACTCGTCAAATCAAATGTCAAGATACCGAGAGTGACGATGCATAGAGACAGTGACGAGCAAGTACGTCTAACCCTGCTCGGTAAAACATGCGCAAAGCACACTACTTAATGTCAGATTTCACAATGAACAGTTTAATGACAATATTTTAGACGTTATTTTCTTAATGCAAAAACCATAAAGCAAATTTCAGAAATAAATTACATGACTCCAACCAGAGGAGCAACTTAAAATAGAAAAGTCTGTTGCATTGTATTAAACTGGTTCACAATTTTAGTAAAAACAGGTGCATATTTTTCCCTTTGTACATATTATATGCATATAGATAAGAGAACTCAGAGTAGTCATGATGAGTTATGTGGGGATGGGGAGATTGGAAAGGGGTCACTGGAAAGTCAAAGAGAGCTCGCAAAAAATATATATGGATGCAAGTGATTCGACATAGAAATCAAATACTCGTTTAAGACGCTGCCACTTCAATAAAACCAATGCTTTTACTGGTTAAGTTACAGGATCCCAAACAACCTTCTATTTATGATACAACAGTTGAAAATCAACAAGTGTTAGCTGATAGTTCTTTGGGCTTTCTCGGTCAGTGGAATGACGATGTGTTGCTCTTGGAATGAATCTTTCCCCAAAGCCCTAAGACGTCAGCCCTAGTCAATTAAAACGGGATTGTGGACTTTGGACTGTGGATGGGATTTTGGATGCAACATTGCTTTCATCGTATTAAGATAAGAAAACAGGAACACTCAATTGGTTTATTTCATGTTACATTAAATTATTCGAAAAAAAAAAAAAGTAATTTCTGGTGACTAAACAAAGTGTTAAAGGTGAGTTTCTTAATGGACCTGCAGTATCCCCACTTTGCCTTTATGCTAAATATGAAAAAGTTACACATAATATTTACCAAAAAGATAACAAAAATTCTGTTTTTCTCCTCATTTATATTCATTTCTAAAATAGACCTTATCACAAGCATAAATTACGAGGAATTATTATGAGGAATAGCATCCCCCAGTTTTCTGGGAAAGTGTGTTAAAGAAAGATAATAGAAGAATTTACAATGATTCTTGCTTCTTGAGGTAATTCACTGCCATGACCAATCCAAAAAGGGAGACAAAGGCCCTCTTAATCACAAGCCTTTTGCTTGAAATTTCATTTTCTTATTAAATATTATATTAGGATTTTAGGACTTACAACCAGTTAAATAGAACTACAGTTACAGAAATAACTTAATATATATTTATAGCTATTAAATTAGACAAGCCTCACCTCAGGTGGCTTGTTTTCTATGGAGATATAAATGTTGCTGTTTCAGTGGGGCAGGGAGAAGATAACAATGCAAGAGATTCTTATTTAATACAAAGAAAAATGACAATTACTCATACAAAAGAGTAGTGGGGAATCCCATGCACGCTCTGTGCTTCCGTTGGTGGCTGCAGGTGTTGATATGAGTCGTAAGAGAGATGAGGCCATTTCTTTCTGAATCCTCTTCGCCATCAAAACTTGAGCAGCAGCTGCAGAGCGAGGATGAGGAGTAAGCAGATGGGTGTGTACGTTCCCGATGTGCCACTGTTGCCGTCTTGCACTGCACCAGGTCCTAAACAATACATATAACTTAGCATGTATACATTTCTCAGCCTATAACACACCTTAACCTACCTTACCTACCTTTGGTACCTTAAACTACCTCAAACCTACACTCATTGGCCATTTTATCAGAAACGGCTATCATATAGGTGCACTGTAGGTTTACTATTACTGACTCTACCCCATCTGTTGCTGAATATGTCAGTCACTTCTAGCCTGTCCATCAATTTGAGACCACAAGAGGACCATCACTGACCATATATTGTTTGGGTGGTGGACCATTCTCAGCACAGCTGTGACATTAAAACAGTAGTGGAGAGCCCACCAGGCACAGCAGCCCTGCTGGGACATGTTTAAAAACACTTGAAAGCTACACTGTTCAAAAAAAATCTTTAAAAAACAGGAAAACATCCAGCTGCAGGGGTGCCAGACAAAACCTGTTAATTGACAGTAAAAGTATGTTTTCACAGTGAGGGTAAAAATCTGTAATATTATGGTCATGTCATTTCTCAGAAATATTGCCATTTACTGTGATTCAGCAGTTTCACTAGTTCAACTAGTTATTCTGACATACAGTATTATACCATAATTATAATGCCAGCCATTAAAATAAACGCAAATGTCAGTGAAATAAATGTGATAATTTGTTTGAACTTACATTTAATTTATGTAAATCACCAGCAGCAGTGTTAAAATACAGTATATTTCATTTGCATGCATTTAACCTTTAAATAAAACAACATACAGATATTTATTTATTAATATTATTCATTTATTCTGTAAGTTTTGAGGATTTGGAGATCTCTCTGGTGGAGAATTTTGTAGCATTGGTTGTGGGACCTCTTTCCTGAGCAGATAAATCTGAGCATTGCAAGCACATTTAAAGAGTATTCAAGAAGAACTCAGTCAAAACTTGATGGATGACGTGACTTCTGAGGATGTAAGTCAAGTGTAGCTTGTATACAGTCATCATATCCTCATCTTTATACTGCTGATTTTGCATTTGAGGCCTAAACATTGAACCTGATCTTCCTTTTGACTTTGTGTGTGATGTTAATATGTAATGTGACATGAAATCTGACCTAACACCTCTGACTTTTAAGTAATTACTTCAAGCAGCAGCACACAGACGCCATATTATAGCATTTTTTCCCTGACTCATTAGGCCTGACACAATTATTACAGTCACTTAATCACAGTTATTTGAAATAATTAATCATTTAAGTTGACTGCAATCATTTTCCACAGTCCTCAGATTTTCCTTACATTTCAAAGTTGTATTGTGCTGAAACAAGCAAAGTGTGAACTGGATGTGTTGGGCTGAGGTGAATGCTGTTGCAAGCAAAAGTTTGGGCGCCTGGTCAAATTACATATATATTTTGTTGATTTTCTAAGTGAAAATAGCATTTTCTATATGCACATTTTAATGCACAATTACTGTTTCTTTGCTGAAATAACTATTGGAAAAAAAAAAAAATATATAAAATGTGCTTCTGCACAGATATGTTTTATGTAGATAAGTTTTGTATGTTAAACAAAAATTACAAAATAGCCAAAACCAAATTGAGCACTAATATTAGCAGAACAAATGCCATATTTGACTTGACAATCTTTGTAGAGGATATGTTAATTTTTTTCACCTAGAAAATTATTTTTTTTAACAGATGGTATTCAAAGTTTTGCATCTGACCGTAAATGAAAGAAAGCTGTAAATGCATTCATTATTACATATCATGAGAAAATGAAAATTGGTGCTCGAACACCAAGCATGAGTAATGTTTATCTGTTAGCTATGTAGCTAAATCATTTTTAGCATGTATACTAGCAGAATTCGTGTTTTTTTTTTTATTCGTATTATTTTCACTTTCAAAAAAACTTTGACTCTACATATGACTCTGTGTAACTGCAGACAACAGTGTAGTGTAACAGTGTAACAAGCTAGATGGCTAATCAGAAAATCAGAATTTCATGGCCACTTTGATAGTTGCAATGAACAAGAGAAGATAATCACAATTATTTATAATGCATTTGATGGTTGGCCTGGTAATGTTACTTTTTTCAATTTTAACAAGAGATCTTACACAGAGCAGCTTTAATGTCACTGTTGTGTTGAGAATTGTCCACCAAGTAAAAATATTCAGATAACAGTGATCCACTGATAAAGGGATCGAAGACAACTCATGCAAACTGTGCATAGAAAAAGATATATATATATATATATAGTCTCTATCAGTGCACCTTAAGGTGTAGCAACAAAGTAATTGTGTCAAACAAAGAGTCCAGTAACACAGTGCTTAAAAATCCAATGAATGTAGGTCATGTTACTTTATCAGTAAACCTAAATAAGAAATAAATACTTTTTCTCTGATCTTTCAAAATATTTGTCAGTTTTGACTAGGGTTGACTTACTAAATTATACTTTTCTCTAAAATGTAAGTCATGTTATTTTCTACAGTGTTAGTAAGTTTGTAGTACTCAATGTAGATCAGTCCATGTTTCATCATTATTAGATATTAGATGGGTATTAGGTGTGGTAGTTCCGTTCATTACAAACCTTCCCACAACTGATTGTATTCAGTGGCTGTTTGCTCTAAAACAGATGAAGTCACTTCTAAAAGAGAAGCAGTATCCACTAAAAGAGAGATTATATGAAACAAGACACTTAACAGAGACAGCAGAGGCTATAAAAACCCAACAACATCGAGTGGCAGCTCATAAGCAAACAGCGCGGGCAAATTGAGTGAGCACACAAACTGCTCCCCTGCTCGCACCCGCCGGTGCTATTAAGCACCCAATTCAGCCTAGATTAGCTGTTGTTCTTGCCGCTCTATTTACCTATTAAGCCAACTTAGATGTCAGAGTATTTCTGGCAGGGTTGCTGCGCTGTGGCGGAACCAGGTCATCAGGCTGAAACGGCTGGAAGGGCAGAAACGGCCCGGCTCTGGTGATGAATGCCCATCCAAGGTCTTTAGTGCTCGCATTAGGATCATCAAAGCATCTGGTGTCCTCGTGCCAGACCCGCTCAGCTGTCCCCTCCTCTCCCCAAGCCCCCGCTACCATTACCGCACTATAACTGCACACCCTTGACCCGTCCACTGCGTGGGTCAACTGTAATTGCAGTTCGCGATAAACAAGCTAATCAGGGAAGGTGCTTGGTAACAAGATAGCTGATGGGGGGCCAAGGGGGAGGCTTGCTGTGGGGTGGTAATGACCACGGTATGAACCGTTCTGGCTTTATTATCACTGGAATTCAAAACCATACAGCGCTGCTGGCTTTAGAGAACAGAAAGTGTCTGGGTGTCTCTGTACTAACAGCAGGGAGATCAGGATGGCCATTCATTTACTCGCCTTTCAATCAGCCTTCACTGGGCCGCCATTCACAGCTAATAACACAAAAGTAATAGTGTTACTGTTAAAAAGGGAGCACAGCAGGACAATTCTGTCAACCATGTCAGCGAACAAGAAACGTCTCTATCTGTAGTAGGCGTTGTTGAAAGATGTGGCTTTAAAAGTTTTGGGTCTGTTCCAGATTTTGATTATGATTAGACAACAAGGGCTAAAAACAGCACACAGCGTTAGATTTGCAGTGATTATCTAGTTATAATCATTTCAGTGTACAGTGATTGAAATCTCTCAAAGCACAAATAATAGCTGAGGCAGACACCCATGAAAAGAAGTGCAGGGTAATGGACATTTTATCAGCACTGCATCGAGAAACAGCGACAGCTGACAAAAAGATGTGGTTTCTCCAACTTCCCAATGTCAAGTGACATTACTTTTTTTAATAATGTCATTGTGAGATTTTCAAATAGAGTTTCTTACTCTAATTGTAGTAAATTGAAATGTACATTAAAGTATATTTACATTAAATAATGCTCTCAAACGGCTTTCATTAAAATCATCCAAATAATTTCAGCTGGGGTTGCATATCTAATATATCGCTGCTGTCGGAAGAAAACCTTGTATCTCCGTTTTTCAGTTTTTGACATAATTTGAAAATGCCTGCTACTCTTTACATGAAGAATGGACCAAAAGAAACAGCCTAAAATGACTTGGGAAAAAAAGTCTGGTTCCACTGACTTACATTAAAAGTAAAGTAGGTTTTTACCTTCTCCTGTAAAGTTACTATTTTGGAGAAACAAAGTTTTCTTCCAATATCACCAATATGCTTAACTGCTGTGGTGCTGAACTTCATTTAGTTCAGCATAATTATTTTTTTAGTTACAGTTTAATACCAATAATGGCAGGGGACATATAAAACTAATAAATATGGCAAACAATATAGCAGACCTGCAGTCTTCTGTCCTCTATCCCCCATAACAAAAGCCAGAGAACAGACGAGCGGCCAATTTCCATCTAAACAAATGTTATACTATGGCATTATACGGAGTGACTATTAAACTTTTCGCTTTGATGGCTCTCCCAGAATGCCTTCTAATTTCCCCTGGATTTGCTGGAGTTCACTAGCCTTTCTTTAGGGACAGAGATCCAATTATACCGCCACAGCAGATTATACTCAATCCGGCAGTCGGATAATTAGAATAATACCAGTTTCTCACAATCAAATTCAAAGTAATTAATGGCTCTCTTGAGAGGACACAGTCATCATTCCCACTCTCACTGTTTTCAATTTAGGTCAGACATTCTGTGATGTGTATAAAAAAAAAAAAATAAATAAAAAAAAGCACAATATCATTACCGAAGTTTGACAAGGGCAAAAGCCCCGTATGCAGAAGCTTAACAAGCAATGACATTGCCAGCTCTTACGGACATCAATAAGCTCTAGACATTCTGAAGTAGTGACAGGGTACTAGACAGAACAAAAATGTTTTAGACTACACAGGCGTGTACTTACACACAGCAGATGCAGGCATGCATAGCCACAATGAAGCCATGCCATGGTGCGTGTGGGTTAGAGAGGAAAAGAGAAAGGAAGAGAAAGAAAACACATTTAAGCAACACTGGATGGAAAGCGTTCACCACCCCACAGTGATCCCACCGGAGACAAACTGAGGCACGGCAAACAGAGCCATTCCCCCCCAGCAGCAATTCAGACTGTCACTCAAAGTGCTGAATTTATTATTGACATTACGAATTGGATTTCAAAGCTAATAAACCCCTTAATAGGAGTGGCTAGTCGCCAATTTACAACCTGACAATCAGATTCTGTCAGGCGACACACAACAATTATATTAGCTCGTTCATGTTGAGGAAATTTGGTGTAGCAATCTCGCTGATCGACTTGAGCGTCACCGCAGCGACTTCTCCTCTGTCTCAATGTGGTTGATATGAACATGGCAGCATTCATTTCTTTGCTTATTTATTTATGAAGCATGCAGAAACAGTTTTGACGATGGGCAAGGGCTGAAAATCACATGCTCATGCTCGGTACTAACCTTGCAATAGTGTCGAGCTAGTGGGCTCAATTACTTCTACATGAGCAAAAACAGACACAACAAAAACAAAGACAACAGTAGAAGAGGCAAAAGCTGTAGATCAGTCTCAGAGAAAAGCACATTAAAAGCATGTTTCAGAAACAACACCGGACAAACTTCAGGTATGATAGGAACCATTCTACTGAATTAGTTCAATATTCAGTCCCACAGTAAAAAAAAAAAAAAAATGAAGTATTGAAAATTCAAATATTAACAAGGAATATGTTATGATCTATTTTAACACAATGCATTAATTGAGACAATAATAAGCTAAATGTATACAAAATCATCATTGACAGGGTACTTTCTATTTGGAGGTCGCTGTCCCAAACCCCTAACTTTCAATGTGTGAAAATAACACTTACATTTTTTTTGTCTATGTACTTTTTAAAGTTTAAAGTATGTTTTCATGTCACTGTACAAACACAAAGAGTGTTAGTCCATAGGTGGAGCCCTATTTTAGCCACACTGCTGCAGGAAGTGAGACTGCATCCCTGTCCATATGGCCACATGGTAAGCATCTGGATCCCATTGTTTTAAGTAAATATGTCCCAATTTTTTCAAGATTACATTATATTAAGAATAGTCACTATTTGAACACATTTTCTGCAATTAAGTACATTTTTTTGTGTTTTAATATTGTGATTTTATGTTTATACAACTGTTCAAAGCTGTATTTGCTAGTCATCTACTGCGTTTTGAGTTTTTTTAAAATTTAGCTAAAACTGCCACCACCAAAACAGTCACTAGTGGTACATTTGGTAAAGGTTTGATAGTTTTCTGATTGTACTGGAAGTGATACAATGGAACGTTCAAAAACGTAATCATCATACTTCTAAAATCATTTTAATAAAATAAACATCATTAAGGTACAGGATCACTCAAAGCAAAAGAGTTTTGTCTAAAGTCCCAGTCAGTTAAAAGTCTGAAATGTGTTTTGAACTCTCACCTTGAACTAATTCGGCAGAATGATGCAAAGCAGACTTTGCAATTATTTCCAGTAACTGTTGTGGGATCATCAAAACTTGCTTAAGTTTATTCTGTATGCAAAAAAGATAAACTGACATATACAGTTCCATATGCATGAGCAAGCTTACCGTATAGAACAAAGCTTGTGTTTGCACTCCCAAGTTTGTTGATGGCAACGCAAGTGTAATTTCCATAGTCTGTCTCGGACACGTTGAAGAAAGTCAGCTTTGATAAGGCTCCAGAATCCTCGATCTCAATCCCATCAAAGCCGTTAGAGATCCTGCAAAACAAGTCAGCAAATCGAGAGACTTGAATCAGCTCGGCACGTTTTGCACTACATCAGAGGTTCTTTTGAAGGCCCGGGTAACATTTACGACAGCATCGGCATTTCTCGGACATGGACCGGCAGCCGGCCCGGACACATTAAAGAGGGCACCAGAGCTGGAAGGCATTATCATCAGCGACACCCGCTATTTAATCACGACACCGCTCTGGGACAACTTTCCCTTTACTGACATCAAAGGCAGTCTGAGTGAACATATTGAGATGCATTTCAGCCAAATGTGCTTTGGTTAGAACGCAAAGCGTTTCACTTCCTGTCAGCCATAGCAGGATATGGCATCAGGAATATTCAGCTGGTAAAATGCGGAGCTTTTAACCTTCTGCAATATCTGTAGCACTCAAAGAGATACAAATATAATGTTACATGCTTTAATAAACAGTACATTACATTAAAATGTCATGCTTTTAGAACAGATTATTGAATAAACTGTCAGAAATAGACTATGGTTTATAGTAAAAACTTCTGTTCCACCTTCCCCTAAAATAGAAATGTCCAGGAGAATGTTCCTCCTTTTATCTCCACATATCATGTGGTAATCTTTTAATCCCTGTCACTCAAAATCAATCACAAATGATAACACAAGGTGCACCACCAAGAATTTGTTGTAGTTTGAGCTCCAGTCGCATTTATGACAAATAAATCCTATTTAACTCTGATACCTCACATATAAATCTTGATTGCTAAAAACCCTGAACATAACAAACGTACTAGCAATAATATATAATGATATCAATGACGGACTTAAAGTTTTCTATAAAATTAATTTAAAAATTACAGATAAATGCTAGAAATTATGCAATATCGTAACTTGTTCACTAACTAGTATGACGCTTTGGATTTTTACAGTATAATCTGTATAATTTAATAACTCTGACTTCCCCCAAAAAATGAAATGTTGAATGAAATATATCTTTAAATACCGTCTGGTGTCTAGATGATAGTGTTTCAATCTACACTGTAGTTATTACTGAATAAAATAACAGCAACTACAACAGTAATGACAGACAATATGACAGTTATTCCAGATTTCTGTATGTTAATGAATCAGTTAACAAACATCAGATTTACACAATTATCCCTTTACTTCTAACGCGATCAGCCAAGACATGTTCGGTGCCCGAAGTCTACTTCTTTAGTTCTGCACTGAAGCTACAATGTTAATGTAGTTAACAACACTGGAAGCTTGTAACCACCAATTAGCATTGTGCAAACTGTATGCCTAAGTTATCACACTTGCGCAGTGTGAAGTTGTTAAGTGATCCCAAATAGACTTGGTTATGAGGTTTCTGACACTGTACGACAAATGTTATGACAATCACATAGACAAAGAATACAAACAAACAAAACAGCAGTAGCTATCTTGAAGTCTGAATTATTAACTTTTACCCATGTTTATAGATAGCAGTATTCTTTACTGTCAGAAACACTGTAAACCATTCATCAGCAAAGTCAGTTTAAGATCAGGGGTAAATTGGGCAAACTTGACCGATTCCTTTAATGAAAGAATACTGTGGGTTGAAAAGCTACAGCTAAAATGGCTCTGAATGGCACCTCTATGATCACAAATGCACTCAAACTCCTGACCTCTGCATGCTGATGGGAGGCTTTGTCAAATGTTCATCATCTGACCTCAAACTATGACCACAGATGTATGACTCATGTACAGTCATGGATGCACTGAGAGTTTGAAGCAGGAGGCACTTTCTTGATTTACCTTCTGTCGTCTCTGTACCACTCAAAGTCTGCCTCAGGTACAGCGTCGGCCTCGCACTGCAGGACCCCTCTCTGACCCAGAGTGACCCCGACATCTCTGCCCTCAAACACGGTGGGAGGGTCTACAAACAACACATATAACAGATAAGGCATTTGTGAGTGCAAATAGAGTCAACAAGAAGCTGCAGTTTCTTAACTCAATCTCAACGTCTAGCCGTTTTCACTTATTTTAACCCTTCCAGGTCTACTCTAGTATAAAGACTTTTATTGTATTTACTTATTTGTCATCTATAAGTCACTGAAACAAACTAAAGAACTGCAACATGTTTGTTCACAGAAGAGGACATATTTAAAGATGATTTAAATATAAAAATATTCAAAATATTCATTTCTGCCATGTCTTTGGTATTTCTTGTTTTTGCATGCAGTCTTGTAAAAAAGTGTGAAAAAGCAAATGGGACAAACTGATGAAGGACTCACAGTTGACCACCAGCTGCATGGTCTTTGTTTCTGTAGCAATGTCATTAACTGCACTGCACTCGTATTCTCCTGCTTTCTGTCTGGTAATGGATGGGATCTCCAGATAATCGTCATCTGAACCGAGACCGTCACCTGAAGACATGAAGGATAAGTGGAAAATAAGGAGAAGAAAGTGTACAATAGTCTCAACATTCTGTGCATTCTCAACAGACTGCTGCCATCACCCTGATTTCTCAAGTGATGTGTGGTTCAGAAAGCTGAGGCCTTTATTTAGCATAGTCATTAGCATATCTGAGTCTCACATAAAACAGCATGGGACTGCATTTCACTTGGAGAACAGACTTATATAAGCATGCTGTCACTTTTCAAACACAACTTGCACTTACTAAAGGTAACAGTAGGTGATACCTCTTGTAGATGACTGAGAAAACATGTCGGCTGAGCTTAACTCCAAAGCGTTTGAGCGAATTTATAGATTATGTATGACTCATTGTAGGTAAAGAAAGTGTGAGTGGAGATAAGAGGTTCATCTTCAGATCCAAACATTTGTGACTGCTCAACTGCTTTCAACTCGTTGTGTATTCACACAGGCAGACGCAGCTGGAATCTACACAGAGAGCAAAGCGCCAGATTTTCATGTTTGCCAAAGTTGAGACATTGAGGTAGATGTTAGTCGTGGGAATCCTAGTGAAGCAGTCCTCAACGCCAAAAAGCAGCACATGCTTGACTTCAACAAAAAACACTGCAAATTCCCTGGCGCGGTCGGTGACAGTAATGCGGTGCCGTGTATTCGCTGTGGTGGGCTGTGAAAGACAGCATCTCACATCGGGGAGAGGCTGCTAACGAGTAGCACCTCCGCTCACCTGATGAGGAGTGTCAGAAGAGCACCCTGGAGAAGCGGCATGTTACATCTCAAACGCTCCTCACCCCACAGCAAGCAAAGGACAAACACTGGGGTTTACATTTTAAAGATCCTTATTCTGCTGTGATAAATTGAGAGGGAACTTTTGTGAAGGCCGTGTTTTTGCATACTGCATAGTACAGCACTTTCACAGGTGACTAGGCTAAACCCCAAGAACACCAGCCAGTCTCTCAACAATCATTTTAACTCCCCCATGGTGTGCATGCCTTGAAGTGCCTCTTATTACATTTTGTTTAATTATTTCTCACAGTGAAGCACTGCAGATTCTGCCAGTGTGGATTCTAAATTTTAATAAAAAACACATGGGTGTTTATAAGTAGAAGGGGAGATATTTCATTATGATTTGAATTTGATTAATAGTTATTTTATGTACAGTAGGGATGTATGTGATTAACCGATTAACCATTAATGTACAAATAAATAATTCTTCAGTTAAAAAAAAAATCTTTTGCTTTTACTTTATTAACAAAATCTCAGTATGACAGCAAAGAACTAGCAGGAAGGTATAGCTGATACAGGAGTGGTGGTGCACAAGCATGATCTGCAAAGAAGATCATCAGAAGGAAACTTTACCTGTGACTTCATCAAGTTCATGACTATGCAAAGCAACATTTAAATAAATAGAGACATTTTGGAAATGTGTTGTGAGACTGATGAAGTAATAATAGAACTCTTTGGACACCATCACCAAAGGTATGTTTGGAGAACAAAAGAGCAGCATTTGATAAAAAACAACACCCTGCTGACTGTTACGCATGGAGGTAGATCCATTATGATTTTGGGGTTGTGTGGCTGTCAGACGCACAGCAAACACTGCATGAGTAGAAGGAAGAATGGATTCCACAAAATATCAACAAATTCTGGAAGCAAATGTGACAGTCAGTCTAGACACTGAAGCTGAGGCTGGCCTGTACAACAAGATAACACTTCAAAAAATACTGTAAAATCCATGTGAACTACCTTTGGAATGGCTCTCACAGACCTCTGACTTAAACATCATTGAAAATCTATGCAAGATGCTCAACTAGAAGCATTCTGCAAGAAAGATTGGCTAAAAGAAGAACAGAAAGACTTCTAGCTGGCTAAAAAAAGTGTTTACAAGCTTTGATATTTGCCAAAATGGGTGTTACTAAGTACTGATTTAGTAGGGTGTCTGTTTGCACATGCCATAATTATTGTTTCATTTTTTCATTTTTTTTATTTAAATATAAAATAACTGAGCATTAACCTTTGCACAAAATGTTAATTTTCGGATATAACTGTACCTGCATAATCAATAAGGTGGTGCTCACAAAGCAGTACCTATAAACTAAAATCCAAATTAAACAGCACTGATTCTCTCTTTTGTCGGCTTTAACTGATGAGTCTAACGACACATTTTCCTTGTTGAAAAAAGACAAGATATAAACTATTTTTCTGTGAATTACCAAAGCTTTTGCAAGGCAAATGATTTGTCATTATCTAGCCAGTCTTCATCCAGCTCTGATCAGTGAATGTGTCTGAATGGAATCAATGAACTATTATATGAAAGCGATTATTCATGTCTTATTCTTTGACTTCAATTAAATATATAAATGTTAGTAATATTAAGAGCCTGGCTGCTCTACCAGAGTGAGCTACATTCTGCCTTCCAAAGTCCCTATATAAGTGAAGGCCGGTTTGAAAGTGTCCACTGAAACCCTTAAAGAGTTAAAGCATCTGTCATGGTGAGCGGATCATGGACATCCGCTATGCTGTCAGACACAAGGTAAATATGGAGCAATGGCAGCAGGTGCACCAGAGAAGCTCTTCAATCACACAGGAGTGATTGTCAAAATGAGAGTATTTATTTCCATCATGGTCTAAGCGCTTCATGGCTGCCATAGAGGATCATATCAAAGAGCAGGACTTACAGGTGTGACAATTCAAGATTTGGCTTTGGCAAGCACTGCAATGCAGACTTATTAAAATGATTCATATTCTCTGGTCCGTCTGTGTTTTGTTTTGAAAATGCTGTGACGGTTAGAGAATACTGTCTCAGGTGTTACAGACCACAGCACTATAGTGCACTGCCAAAAGGTAAAAGCTGAAAAGTCCACAATAAATAAGCTGGACATTCCTAGTAAACACATTCAAAAGGATAAAATTAAGGTTTCTTTGGGAACGATTCCATAAAAGAACCACTTTAAGTTCTGTAAAGAATCTTTAAATGAACAGTTCTGTAAAAGAACCACTGCAGTGTTTGAGATCATCATAGAAATTTTACATATAGTAAAGGTTTTACAACCTGACCAAGAAGTGTCTAATTTTGCTGTTTAATCTTATCTTCTGTTTTAAAGCATCTATTTCTGAATTACATGGTAAAAATTTGATTTAACACAATAGAAAAAATTGATATAATTTTATTTCGGCTTAGAAGATGCGTATAATTTTATTTAGTTTGTGCCACAAACTACCGTTTTGAACAAGAAAACGCATTATCGTCACTCTGACTAAATAAACCATTAATAAGCTCCTACCAATTCAAACTGCGTTCTGAGTGAGCCTGCATGCTCGTTTGTGAAAAAAAACATAATTCATTCAGCAGTAAAGGAAGCCTTGTGAATCTTTTATACAGTGATAGAAAACACGCTGGCGCACAGAAAGCTGAATTTCACCTGATTTATATTTTAGAGTGTAGTGTCACATTGCTGTGATGAACACAGCCGATATACAGTGGTATGCAAGAGTGTGAATACCTAGATCAAATTACCATAAGGAATGGGGCTTTTAGGGAGGCTGCATGTGAAGAGTAGCTTTATTAGTGGATTTCCAAACAATCGTCCACAAAACAGGCAGGGGTAAACATATTAGGCAGCACAAACTAGAAAACAAGCTCGGCTCGAATAAAGGGAAACGAGACTTCACAAAGCACAAGGCCATACAAAGGCATTTGTGACTCACTGAGTCTATAGAATATGTCACAGGTATGCGTGTAATGGTGGAAGGGTGGAGGCAGCGAGGAGCAGGAGATGGAATGAGCTATTCCAGACTGGGTAGGTCCAGAGAGTCTTCCCAGAGAGGGGAGACAACATGACAATGACAGGCTTGGTTAATTTTCTAAGTGAAAGTGTACTTCAGACGAATCTTAAACATAGCATTTTTCTGCAAATTCAATTGCACACTTTCTATTTATTTTCCGAGTTTAATATAATGAGGAAAGGAAAAAAAAATCTGCAATGTGCCATAACTTCCACACTTTTCTCAATACATTAAATTCAGCAAATAAACAGTAACGATGCATTAAAATGTGCAGAAGTGTGTTCTCTGTAGAGGATGCGTACTTATTTCACTTGAAAAAGGCACCCAAACTTTTGCATACGACTGTGTGATCACATCAAAATCCAACGGCACTGTTATGCTACCAAATCGAAAAGAGTCAAACAGGGTCTTCAACACGGTCTGATGTAGGTTGATCTAAAATAGACATCTGTAAGCACTGAACGCAGCACAAGGCCAGGCTGAACAAGTCAAACTTTCACTCAATAAAGCATTCTGCCTGAGAACTCTGCTGCTCAAGCTTAGCTCAGGTCAGCACAGCCAAGTGCATGTAGAGAGAAGATCTTGTACTCCCCCAGATGGAGGAGGACTAAATCTCTATCTCTGTGCTTTTACAGTGAGGCTCTGGGTTTGAATGTTTAAGCTTTTAGTCCATGTCTGAAGAACAATTATTCATTTAATTCTAAATGTATAACATGGAGAAAGACAGAGGAACAGCTTTATTGCCCACTATGGTAGTCAGTGTACATTCAGTGTGAGCAGTGCTAATTTGCCAGCTACATCTGATTAGTCTTATCCTTAAAATGGTCATTTTACATATAATACTTGTAGTCAAAGATGGTGAAAATTATAATGGGAACAACATTTCCTGTTTTCATCTTCATCACATCAGGGGTACACAGATATAAATATCTGCAGTGGCTGCTCTGACCACAAAGCCAATGAATCATGTTGCCAAAGCTAAGAATTTGTGGCCAGATTAATAGAAACATCTTTATTGTATACACATTGCATTTACAATCATCAAGCATGTTTCAGCAACAAAAAACAGTCAGGTGTTGCTTTGAAACGACTTATCCTCAATAAGAATGGCTGTCGTGGTGACTGTGGTGGCCCCTCCACTGAAGTGGTCCACTCTGCTGTCATTTTATCTAGGTTATGAGTTTAGCTACTGCTGTGATGGCCTTTCGAT